CAACAACAACTATTTCAGACACTACAACTATTTCTCCATCCAACTTTACCTCAGAATCGACAACTTCAAGCACTGAATCTGTTTCAACAGCAGCAGCAACTTCTCCATTGCCATCAACACCATTTACATCAGCGACTGCAAGAACTTCCAATATAGAAACGATGTCAACATCAGGTGCAACTTCTCCATTGTCAACAACATCATTCACATCACGAACATCACCGTTGTCTTCGACAACAGCTATTTCAGACACTACAACGATTTCTCCAACCACCATTACCTCAGAATCAACAACTTCGAGCACTGAATCTGTCTCAACAGCAGCAACGTCTCCATTGTCAACAACACCGTTCACATCTCCGATTGCAACGTTTTCTTCCACAACACCTATTTCAGACACTACAACTATTTCTCCATCCACCATTACCTCAGAATCGACAACTTCAAGCACTGAAACTGTCTCAACAGCAGCAACTTCTCCACTATCAACAACACCATTTACATCAGCGACTGCAACAACTTCCAGTACACTAACGGTGGCAACATCAGGAGCGACATCTCCATTGTCAACAACACCATTCACATCTCCTACTACAACGTTTTCTTCCACAACACCTATGTCAGACACTACAACTGTTTCACCATCCACAATTATCTCAGAATCGACAACTTCGAGCACTGAATCTGTCTCAACAACAGCAACAACGTCTCCATTGTCAACAACACCATTCACATCTCCGACTGCAACGTTTTCTTCCACCACACCTATTTCAGACACTACAACTATTTCTCCATCCACCATTACCTCAGAAGTGACAACTTCGAGTACTGAATCTGTCTCAACAGCAGCAACAACGCCTACATTGTCAACGACACCATTCACATCTCCGACTACAACGTATTCTTCCACAATACCTATTTCAGACACTACAACTATTTCTCCATCCACCATTACCTCAGAATCAACAACTTCGAGTACTGAATCTGTCTCAACAGCAGCAACAACGCCTACATTGTCGAGGACACCATTCACATCTCCTACTACAACGTTTTCTTCCACCACACCTATTTCAGACACTACAACTATTTCTCCATCCACCATTACCTCAGAATTGACAACTTCTAGCACTGAATCTGTTTCAACAGCAGCAACAACGCCTACATTGTCAACGACACCATTCAGATCTCCTACTACAAAGTTTTTTTCCATCACACCTATTTCAGACACTACAACTATTTCTCCATCCACAATTACCTCAGAATTGACAACTTCTAGCACTGAATCTGTTTCAACAGCAGCAACAACGCCTACATTGTCAACGACACCATTCACATCTCCTACTACAAAGTTTTCTTCCACAACACCTATTTCAGACACTACAACTATTTCTCCATCCACCATTACCTCAGAAGTGACAACTTCGAGCACTGAATCTGTCTCAACAGCAGCAGCAACTTCTCCATTGTCAACAACACTATTTACATCAGCTACTTCAACAACTTCCAGTATACTAACGGTGGCAACATCAGGAGTGACATCTCCATTGTCAACAACATCAATAACTTCACCAACGGCGCCGTTTTCTTCGACAACACCTACGGCAGACACTGCAACGATTTCCACATCCACCGTTACCTCAGAAGCAACAACTTCAAATACTGAAACGATTTCAACAGCCGCAACATCTCCATTGTCAACAACATCATTCACATCACCAACATCACTGTTGTCTTCCACCACACCTATTTCAGACACTACAACTATTTCTCCATCCACCATTACCTCAGAATCGACAACTTCAAGCACTGAAACTGTCTCAACAGGAGCAATTTCTCCACTATCAACAACACCATTTACATCAGCGACTGCAACAACTTCCAGTACACTAACGGTGGCAACATCAGGAGCGACATCTCCATTGTCAACAACACCATTCACATCTCCTACTACAACGTTTTCTTCTACAACACCTATGTCAGACACTACAACTGTTTCACCATCCACAATTACCTCAGAATCGACAACTTCGAGCACTGAATTTGTCTCAACAACAGCAACAACGTCTCCATTGTCAACAACATCATTCACATCTCCGACTGCAACGTTTTCTTCCACCACACCTATTTCAGACACTACAACTATTTCTCCATCCACCATTACCTCAGAATCGACAACTTCAAGCACTGAAACTGTCTCAACAGCATCAACTTCTCCACTATCAACAACACCATTTACATCAGCGACTGCAACAACTTCCAGTACACTAACGGTGGCAACATCAGGAGCGACATCTCCATTGTCAACAACACCATTGACATCTCCTACTACAACGTTTTCTTCCACAACACCTATGTCAGACACTACAACTGTTTCACCATCCACAATTATCTCAGAATCGACAACTTCGAGCACTGAATCTGTCTCAACAACAGCAACAACGTCTCCATTGTCAACAACACCATTCACATCTCCGACTGCAACGTTTTCTTCCACCACACCTATTTCAGACACTACAACTATTTCTCCATCCACCATTACCTCAGAAGCTACAACTTCAAGTACTGAAACGATTTCAACAGCAGCAACATCTCCATTGTCAACAACATCATTCATATCACCAACATCACCGTTGTCTTCAACAACACCTACGGCAGACACTGCAACTATTTCTCCATCCACCATTACCTCAGAATCGACAACTTCAAGCACTGAATCTGTCTCAACAGCAGCAACAACTTCTCCATTGTCATCAACACCATTTACATCAGCGACTGCAAGAACTTCCAATATAGAAACGATGTCAACATCAGGTGCAACTTCTCCATTGTCAACGACATTATTCACATCACCAACATCACGGTTTTCTTCGACAACAGCTATTTCAGACACTACAATTATTTCTCCATCCACCATTACCTCAGAATCGACAACTTCGAGCACTGAATCTGTCTCAACAGCAGCAGCAACTTCTCAAATGTCATCAACACCATTTACATCAGCGACTGCAAGAACTTCCAATATAGAAACGATGTCAACATCAGGTGCAACTTCTCCATTGTCAACAACATCAATGACATCACCAACAGCGCCGTTTTCTTCGACAACACCTACGGCAGACACTGCAACGATTTCCACATCCACCGTTACCTCAGAAGCAACAACTTCAAATACTGAAACGATTTCAACAGCCGCAAAATCTCCATTGTCAACAATATCATTCACATCACCAACATCACTGTTGTCTTCCACCACACCTATTTCAGACACTACAACTATTTCTTCATCCACCATTACCTCAGAATCGACAACTTCAAGCACTGAAACTGTCTCAACAGCAGCAACTTCTCCACTATCAACAACACCATTTACATCAGCGACTGCCACAACTTCCAGTACACTAACGGTGGCAACATCAGGAGCGACATCTCCATTGTCAACAACACCATTCACATCTCCTACTACAACGTTTTCTTCCACAACACCTATGTCAGACACTACAACTGTTTCACCATCCACAATTACCTCAGAATCGACAACTTCGAGCACTGAATCTGTCTCAACAACAGCAACAACGTCTCCATTGTCAACAACACCATTCACATCTCCGACTGCAACGTTTTCTTCCACCACACCTATTTCAGACACTACAACTATTTCTCCATCCACCATTACCTCAGAAGCTACAACTTCAAGTACTGAAACGATTTCAACAGCCGCAACATATCCATTGTCAACAACATCATTCATATCACCATCATCACCATTGTCTTCAACAACAACTATTTCAGACACTACAACTATTTCTCCATCCAACTTTACCTCAGAATCGACAACTTCAAGCACTGAATCTGTTTCAACAGCAGCAGCAACTTCTCCATTGCCATCAACACCATTTACATCAGCGACTGCAAGAACTTCCAATATAGAAACGATGTCAACATCAGGTGCAACTTCTCCATTGTCAACAACATCATTCACATCACGAACATCACCGTTGTCTTCGACAACAGCTATTTCAGACACTACAACGATTTCTCCAACCACCATTACCTCAGAATCAACAACTTCGAGCACTGAATCTGTCTCAACAGCAGCAACGTCTCCATTGTCAACAACACCGTTCACATCTCCGATTGCAACGTTTTCTTCCACAACACCTATTTCAGACACTACAACTATTTCTCCATCCACCATTACCTCAGAATCGACAACTTCAAGCACTGAAACTGTCTCAACAGCAGCAACTTCTCCACTATCAACAACACCATTTACATCAGCGACTGCAACAACTTCCAGTACACTAACGGTGGCAACATCAGGAGCGACATCTCCATTGTCAACAACACCATTCACATCTCCTACTACAACGTTTTCTTCCACAACACCTATGTCAGACACTACAACTGTTACACCATCCACAATTATCTCAGAATCGACAACTTCGAGCACTGAATCTGTCTCAACAACAGCAACAACGTCTCCATTGTCAACAACACCATTCACATCTCCGACTGCAACGTTTTCTTCCACCACACCTATTTCAGACACTACAACTATTTCTCCATCCACCATTACCTCAGAAGCTACAACTTCAAGTACTGAAACGATTTCAACAGCAGCAACATCTCCATTGTCAACAACATCATTCATATCACCAACATCACCGTTGTCTTCAACAACACCTACGGCAGACACTGCAACTATTTCTCCATCCACCATTACCTCAGAATCGACAACTTCAAGCACTGAATCTGTCTCAACAGCAGCAACAACTTCTCCATTGTCATCAACACCATTTACATCAGCGACTGCAAGAACTTCCAATATAGAAACGATGTCAACATCAGGTGCAACTTCTCCATTGTCAACGACATTATTCACATCACCAACATCACGGTTTTCTTCGACAACAGCTATTTCAGACACTACAATTATTTCTCCATCCACCATTACCTCAGAATCGACAACTTCGAGCACTGAATCTGTCTCAACAGCAGCAGCAACTTCTCAAATGTCATCAACACCATTTACATCAGCGACTGCAAGAACTTCCAATATAGAAACGATGTCAACATCAGGTGCAACTTCTCCATTGTCAACAACATCATTCACATCACGAACATCACCGTTGTCTTCGACAACAGCTATTTCAGACACTACAACGATTTCTCCAACCACCATTACCTCAGAATCAACAACTTCGAGCACTGAATCTGTCTCAACAGCAGCAACGTCTCCATTGTCAACAACACCGTTCACATCTCCGATTGCAACGTTTTCTTCCACAACACCTATTTCAGACACTACAACTATTTCTCCATCCACCATTACCTCAGAATCGACAACTTCGATCACTGAATCTGTCTCAACAGCAGCAACTTCTCCAACGTCATCAACACCATTTACATCAGCGACTGCAACAACTTCCAGTACACTAACGGTGGCAACATCAGGAGCGACATCTCCATTGTCAACAACACCATTCACATCTCCTACTACAACGTTTTCTTCCACAACACCTATGTCAGACACTACAACTGTTTCACCATCCACAATTATCTCAGAATCGACAACTTCGAGCACTGAATCTGTCTCAACAACAGCAACAACGTCTCCATTGTCAACAACACCATTCACATCTCCGACTGCAACGTTTTCTTCCACCACACCTATTTCAGACACTACAACTATTTCTCCATCCACCATTACCTCAGAAGCTACAACTTCAAGTACTGAAACGATTTCAACAGCAGCAACATCTCCATTGTCAACAACATCATTCATATCACCAACATCACCGTTGTCTTCAACAACACATACGGCAGACACTGCAACTATTTCTCCATCCACCATTACCTCAGAATCGACAACTTCAAGCACTGAATCTGTCTCAACAGCAGCAACAACTTCTCCATTGTCATCAACACCATTTACATCAGCGACTGCAAGAACTTCCAATATAGAAACGATGTCAACATCAGGTGCAACTTCTCCATTGTCAACGACATTATTCACATCACCAACATCACGGTTTTCTTCGACAACAGCTATTTCAGACACTACAATTATTTCTCCATCCACCATTACCTCAGAATCGACAACTTCGAGCACTAAATCTGTCTCAACAGCAGCAGCAACTTCTCAAATGTCATCAACACCATTTACATCAGCGACTGCAAGAACTTCCAATATAGAAACGATGTCAACATCAGGTGCAACTTCTCCATTGTCAACAACATCAATGACATCACCAACAGCGCCGTTTTCTTCGACAACACCTACGGCAGACACTGCAACGATTTCCACATCCACCGTTACCTCAGAAGCAACAACTTCAAATACTGAAACGATTTCAACAGCCGCAACATCTCCATTGTCAACAATATCATTCACATCACCAACATCACTGTTGTCTTCCACCACACCTATTTCAGACACTACAACTATTTCTCCATCCACCATTACCTCAGAATCAACAACTTCAAGCACTGAAACTGTCTCAACAGCAGCAACTTATCCACTATCAACAACACCATTTACATCAGCGACTGCCACAACTTCCAGTACACTAACGGTGGCAACATCAGGAGCGACATCTCCATTGTCAACAACACCATTCACATCTCCTACTACAACGTTTTCTTCCACAACACCTATGTCAGACACTACAACTGTTTCACCATCCACAATTACCTCAGAATCGACAACTTCGAGCACTGAATCTGTCTCAACAACAGCAACAACGTCTCCATTGTCAACAACACCATTCACATCTCCGACTGCAACGTTTTCTTCCACCACACCTATTTCAGACACTACAACTATTTCTCCATCCACCATTACCTCAGAAGCTACAACTTCAAGTACTGAAACGATTTCAACAGCCGCAACATATCCATTGTCAACAACATCATTCATATCACCATCATCACCATTGTCTTCAACAACAACTATTTCAGACACTACAACTATTTCTCCATCCAACTTTACCTCAGAATCGACAACTTCAAGCACTGAATCTGTTTCAACAGCAGCAGCAACTTCTCCATTGCCATCAACACCATTTACATCAGCGACTGCAAGAACTTCCAATATAGAAACGATGTCAACATCAGGTGCAACTTCTCCATTGTCAACAACATCATTCACATCACGAACATCACCGTTGTCTTCGACAACAGCTATTTCAAACACTACAACGATTTCTCCAACCACCATTACCTCAGAATCAACAACTTCGAGCACTGAATCTGTCTCAACAGCAGCAACGTCTCCATTGTCAACAACACCGTTCACATCTCCGATTGCAACGTTTTCTTCCACAACACCTATTTCAGACACTACAACTATTTCTCCATCCACCATTACCTCAGAATCGACAACTTCAAGCACTGAAACTGTCTCAACAGCAGCAACTTCTCCACTATCAACAACACCATTTACATCAGCGACTGCAACAACTTCCAGTACACTAACGGTGGCAACATCAGGAGCGACATCTCCATTGTCAACAACACCATTCACATCTCCTACTACAACGTTTTCTTCCACAACACCTATGTCAGACACTACAACTGTTTCACCATCCACAATTATCTCAGAATCGACAACTTCGAGCACTGAATCTGTCTCAACAACAGCAACAACGTCTCCATTGTCAACAACACCATTCACATCTCCGACTGCAACGTTTTCTTCCACCACACCTATTTCAGACACTACAACTATTTCTCCATCCACCATTACCTCAGAAGCTACAACTTCAAGTACTGAAACGATTTCAACAGCAGCAACATCTCCATTGTCAACAACATCATTCATATCACCAACATCACCGTTGTCTTCAACAACACCTACAGCAGACACTGCAACTATTTCTCCATCCACCATTACCTCAGAATCGACAACTTCAAGCACTGAATCTGTCTCAACAGCAGCAACAACTTCTCCATTGTCATCAACACCATTTACATCAGCGACTGCAAGAACTTCCAATATAGAAACGATGTCAACATCAGGTGCAACTTCTCCATTGTCAACGACATTATTCACATCACCAACATCACGGTTTTCTTCGACAACAGCTATTTCAGACACTACAATTATTTCTCCATCCACCATTACCTCAGAATCGACAACTTCGAGCACTGAATCTGTCTCAACAGCAGCAGCAACTTCTCAAATGTCATCAACACCATTTACATCAGCGACTGCAAGAACTTCCAATATAGAAACGATGTCAACATCAGGTGCAACTTCTCCATTGTCAACAACATCATTCACATCACGAACATCACCGTTGTCTTCGACAACAGCTATTTCAGACACTACAACGATTTCTCCAACCACCATTACCTCAGAATCAACAACTTCGAGCACTGAATCTGTCTCAACAGCAGCAACGTCTCCATTGTCAACAACACCGTTCACATCTCCGATTGCAACGTTTTCTTCCACAACACCTATTTCAGACACTACAACTATTTCTCCATCCACCATTACCTCAGAATCGACAACTTCAAGCACTGAAACTGTCTCAACAGCAGCAACTTCTCCACTATCAACAACACCATTTACATCAGCGACTGCAACAACTTCCAGTACACTAACGGTGGCAACATCAGGAGCGACATCTCCATTGTCAACAACACCATTCACATCTCCTACTACAACGTTTTCTTCCACAACACCTATGTCAGACACTACAACTGTTTCACCATCCACAATTATCTCAGAATCGACAACTTCGAGCACTGAATCTGTCTCAACAACAGCAACAACGTCTCCATTGTCAACAACACCATTCACATCTCCGACTGCAACGTTTTCTTCCACCACACCTATTTCAGACACTACAACTATTTCTCCATCCACCATTACCTCAGAAGCTACAACTTCAAGTACTGAAACGATTTCAACAGCAGCAACATCTCCATTGTCAACAACATCATTCATATCACCAACATCACCGTTGTCTTCAACAACACCTACGGCAGACACTGCAACTATTTCTCCATCCACCATTACCTCAGAATCGACAACTTCAAGCACTGAATCTGTCTCAACAGCAGCAACAACTTCTCCATTGTCATCAACACCATTTACATCAGCGACTGCAAGAACTTCCAATATAGAAACGATGTCAACATCAGGTGCAACTTCTCCATTGTCAACGACATTATTCACATCACCAACATCACGGTTTTCTTCGACAACAGCTATTTCAGACACTACAATTATTTCTCCATCCACCATTACCTCAGAATCGACAACTTCGAGCACTGAATCTGTCTCAACAGCAGCAGCAACTTCTCAAATGTCATCAACACCATTTACATCAGCGACTGCAAGAACTTCCAATATAGAAACGATGTCAACATCAGGTGCAACTTCTCCATTGTCAACAACATCAATGACATCACCAACAGCGCCGTTTTCTTCGACAACACCTACGGCAGACACTGCAACGATTTCCACATCCACCGTTACCTCAGAAGCAACAACTTCAAATACTGAAACGATTTCAACAGCCGCAACATCTCCATTGTCAACAATATCATTCACATCACCAACATCACTGTTGTCTTCCACCACACCTATTTCAGACACTACAACTATTTCTCCATCCACCATTACCTCAGAATCAACAACTTCAAGCACTGAAACTGTCTCAACAGCAGCAACTTCTCCACTATCAACAACACCATTTACATCAGCGACTGCCACAACTTCCAGTACACTAACGGTGGCAACATCAGGAGCGACATCTCCATTGTCAACAACACCATTCACATCTCCTACTACAACGTTTTCTTCCACAACACCTATGTCAGACACTACAACTGTTTCACCATCCACAATTACCTCAGAATCGACAACTTCGAGCACTGAATCTGTCTCAACAACAGCAACAACGTCTCCATTGTCAACAACACCATTCACATCTCCGACTGCAACGTTTTCTTCCACCACACCTATTTCAGACACTACAACTATTTCTCCATCCACCATTACCTCAGAAGCTACAACTTCAAGTACTGAAACGATTTCAACAGCCGCAACATCTCCATTGTCAACAACATCATTCATATCACCATCATCACCATTGTCTTCAACAACAACTATTTCAGACACTACAACTATTTCTCCATCCAACTTTACCTCAGAATCGACAACTTCAAGCACTGAATCTGTTTCAACAGCAGCAGCAACTTCTCCATTGCCATCAACACCATTTACATCAGCGACTGCAAGAACTTCCAATATAGAAACGATGTCAACATCAGGTGCAACTTCTCCATTGTCAACAACATCATTCACATCACGAACATCACCGTTGTCTTCGACAACAGCTATTTCAGACACTACAACGATTTCTCCAACCACCATTACCTCAGAATCAACAACTTCGAGCACTGAATCTGTCTCAACAGCAGCAACGTCTCCATTGTCAACAACACCGTTCACATCTCCGATTGCAACGTTTTCTTCCACAACACCTATTTCAGACACTACAACTATTTCTCCATCCACCATTACCTCAGAAGTGACAACTTCGAGCACTGAATCTGTCTCAACAGCAGCAGCAACTTCTCCATTGTCAACAACACCATTTACATCAGCGACTGCAACAACTTCCAGTATCCTAACGGTGGCAACATCAGGAGCGACATCTCCATTGTCGACATCATCAATAACATCACCAACAGCGCCGTTTTCTTCGACAACACCTACGGCAGACACTGCAACGATTTCTACATCCACCGTAACCTCAGAAGCAACAACTTCAAGTACTGAAACGATTTCAACAGCCGCAACATCTCCATTGTCAACAACATCATTCATATCACCATCATCACCATTGTCTTCAACAACAACTATTTCAGACACTACAACTATTTCTCCATCCAACTTTACCTCAGAATCGACAACTTCAAGCACTGAATCTGTTTCAACAGCAGCAGCAACTTCTCCATTGCCATCAACACCATTTACATCAGCGACTGCAAGAACTTCCAATATAGAAACGATGTCAACATCAGGTGCAACTTCTCCATTGTCAACAACATCATTCACATCACGAACATCACCGTTGTCTTCGACAACAGCTATTTCAGACACTACAACGATTTCTCCAACCACCATTACCTCAGAATCAACAACTTCGAGCACTGAATCTGTCTCAACAGCCGCAACGTCTCCATTGTCAACAACACCGTTCACATCTCCGATTGCAACGTTTTCTTCCACAACACCTATTTCAGACACTACAACTATTTCTCCATCCACCATTACCTCAGAAGTGACAACTTCGAGCACTGAATCTGTCTCAACAGCAGCAGCAACTTCTCCATTGTCAACAACACCATTTACATCAGCGACTGCAACAACTTCCAGTATCCTAACGGTGGCAACATCAGGAGCGACATCTCCATTGTCGACATCATCAATAACATCACCAACAGCGCCGTTTTCTTCGACAACACCTACGGCAGACACTGCAACGATTTCCACATCCACCGTTACCTCAGAAGCAACAACTTCAAGTACTAAAACGATTTCAACAGCCGCAACGGCTCCATTGTCAACAACATCATTCATATCACCAACATCACCGTTGTCTTCAACAACAACTATTTCAGACACTACAACTATTTCTCCATCCACCATTACCTCAGAATCGACAACTTCGAGCACTGAATCTGTCTCAACAGCAGCAACAACGTCTCCATTGTCAACCACACCATTCACATCTCCGACTGCAACGTTTTCTTCCACCACACCTATTTCAGACACTACAACTATTTCTCCAACCACCATTACCTCAGAATCAACAACTTCGAGCACTGAATCTGTCTCAACAGCAGCAACAACGTCTCCATTGTCAACAACACCGTTCACATCTCCGATTGCAACGTTTTCTTCCACAACACCTATTTCAGACACAACAACTATTTCTCCATCCACCATTACGTCAGAAGTGACAACTTCGAGCACTGAATCTGTCTCAACAGCAGCAGCAACTTCTCCATCGTCAACAACACCATTTACATCAGCGACTGCAATAACTTCCAGTATACTAACGGTGGCAACATCAGGAGCGACATCTCCATTGTCGACAACATCAATCGCATCACCAACAGCGCCGTTTTCTTCACCAAGACCTACGGCAGACACCGCAACAATTTCCACATCCACCGTTACCTCAGAAGCAACAACTTCAAGTACTGAAACAATTTCAACAGCCACAACATCTCCATTGTCAACAACATTATTCACATCACCAACATCACTGTTGTCTTTGACAACAGATATTTCAGACACTACAACTATTTCTCCATCCACCATTACCTCAGAATCGACAACTGCAAGCACTGAATCTGTCTCAACAGCAGCAACAACTTCTCCATTGTCAACAACACCGTTCACATCTCCTACTACAACGTTTCATTACACCACACCTATTTCAGACACTACAACTATTTCTCCATCCACCATTACCTCAGAATCGACAACTTCAAGCACTGAATCTGTCTCAACAGCAGCAGCAACTTCTCCATTGTCAACAACACCATTTACATCAGCGACTGCAACAACTTCCAGTATACTAACGGTGGCAACATCAGGAGCGACATCTCCATTGTCGACAACATCAATAACATCACCAACAGCGCCGTTTTCTTCAACAACACCTACGGCAGACACTGCAACGATTTCCACATCCACCATTACCTCAGAAGCAACAACTGAAACGATTTCAACAGCCGCAACATCTCCATTATCATTCACATCACCAACATCACTGTTGTCTTCGACAACAGCTATTTCAGACACTTCAACAATTTCTCCATCTCCCATTACCTCAGAATCGACAACTTCAAGCACTGAATCTGTCTCAACAGCAGCAACAACGTCTCCATTGTCAACAACACCGTTCACATCTCCGACTGCAACGTTTTATTCCACAACACCTATTTCAGACACAACAACTATTTCTCCATCCACCATTACCTCAGAAGTGACAACTTCGAGCACTGAATCTGTCACAACAGCAGCATCAACTTCTCCATTGTCAACAACACCATTTACATCAGCGACTGCAACAACTTCCAGTATACTAACGGTGGCAACATCAGGAGCGACATCTCCATTTTATACAACATCAATAACATCACCAACAGCGCCGTTTTCTTCTACAACACCTACGGCAGACACTGCAACGATTTCCACATCCACCGTTACCTCAGAAGCAACAACTTCAAGTATTGAAACGATTTCAACAGCCGCAACATCTCCATTGTCAACAACATCATTCACATCACCAACATCACTGTTGTCTTCGACAACACCTATTTCAGACGCTACAACTATTTCTCCATCCACCATTACCTCAGAATCGACAACTTCAAGCACTGACTCTGTCTCAACAGTAGCAACAACGTCTCCATTGTCAACAACACCATTCACATCTCCGACTGCAACGTTTTCTTCCACCACACCTATTTCAGACACTACAACTATTTCTACATCCACCATTACCTCAGAAGCTACAACTTCAAGTACTGAAACGATTTCAACAGCATCAAAATCTCCATTGTCAACAACATCATTCATATCACCAACATCACCGTTGTCTTCAACAACACCTATTTCAGAAACTACAACTATTTCTCCATCCACCATTACCTCAGAATCGACAACTTCTAGCACTGAATCTGTCTCAACAGCAGCAGCAACTTCTCCAATGTCATCAACACCATTTACATCAGCGACTACAAGAACTTCCAATATAGAAACGATGTCAACATCAGGTGCAACTTCTCCATTGTCAACAACATCAATGGCATCACCAACAGCGCCGTTTTCTTCGACAACACCTACGGCAGACACTGCAACGATTTCCCAATCCACCGTTACCTCAGAAGTACCAACTTCAAGTACTGAAACAATTTCAACAGCCACAACATCTCCATTGTCAACAACATCATTCACATCACCAACATCACCGTTGTCTTCCACCACACCTATTTCAGACACTACAACTATTACTCCATCCACCATTACCTCAGAAGTGACAACTTCGAGCACTGAATCTGTCTCAACAGCAGCAGCAACTTCTCCATTGTCAACAACACTATTTACATCAGCGACTTCAACAACTTCCAGTATACTAACGGTGGCAACATCAGGAGCGACATCTCCATTGTCGACAACATCAATAACATCACCAACAGCGCCGTTTTCTTCGACAACACCTACGGCAGACACTGCAACGATTTCCACATCCACCGTTACCTCAGAAGCAACAACTTCAAATACTGAAACGATTTCAACAGCCGCAACATCTCCATTGTCAACAACATCATTCACATCACCAACATCACTGTTGTCTTCCACCACACCTATTTCAGACACTACAACTATTTCTCCATCCACCATTACCTCAGAATCGACAAGTTCAAGCACTGAATCTGTCTCAACAGCAGCAACAAAGTCTCCATTGTCAACAACATCATTCACATCACCAACATCACCGTTTTATTCCACCACACCTATTTCAGACACTACAACTATTTCCCCATCCACCATTACCTCAGAAGTGACAACTTCGAGCGCTGAATCTGTCTCAACAACAGCAACAACGTCTCCATTGTCAACAACATCATTCATATCACCAACATCACCGTTGTCTTCAACAACATCTATTTCAGACACTACAACTATTTCTCCATCCACCATTACCTCAGAAGTGACAACTTCGAGCACTGAATCTGTCTCAACAGCAGCAGCAACTTCTCCATTGTCAACAACACTATTTACATCAGCGACTTCAACAACTTCCAGTATACTAACGGTGGCAACATCAGGAGCGACATCTCCATTGTCGACAACATCAATAACATCACCAACAGCGCCGTTTTCTTCGACAACACCTACAGCAGACACTGCAACGATTTCCACATCCACCGTTACCTCAGAAGCAACAACTTTAAGTACTGAAACGATTTCAACAGCCGCAACATCTCCATTGTCAACAACATCATTCACATCACCAACATCACCCTTGTCTTCAACAACAACTATTTCAGACACTACAACTATTTCTCCATCCACCATTACCTCAGAATCGACAACTTCAAGCACTGAATCTGTCTCAACAGCAGCAACAACTTATCCATTGTCATCAACACCATTTACATCAGCGACTGCAAGAACTTCCAATATAGAAACGATGTCAACATCAGGTGCAACTTCTCCATTGTCAACAACATCAATGACATCACCAACAGCGCCGTTTTCTTCGACAACAACTACGGCAGACACTGCAACGATTTCCACATCCACCGTTACCTCAGAAGTAACAACTTCAAGTACTGAAACGATTTCAACAGCTGCAACATCTCCATTGTCAACAACATCATTCACATCACCAACATCAAGGTTGTCTTCCACCACACCTATTTCAGACACTACAACTATTTCTCCATCCACCATTACCTCAGAAGTGACAACTTCGAGCACTGAATCTGTCTCAACAGCAGCAGCAACTTCTCCATTGTCAACAACACTATTTACATCAACGACTTCAACAACTTCCAGTATACTAACGGTGGCAACATCAGGAGCGACATCTCCATTGTCGACAACATCAATAACATCACCAACAGCGCCGTTTTCTTCGACAACACCTACGGCAGACACTGCAACGATTTCCACATCCACCGTTACCTCAGAAGCAACAACTTCAAGTACTGAAACTATTTCAACAGCCGCAACATCTCCATTGTCAACAACATCATTCACATCACCAACATCACCCTTGTCTTCAACAACAACTATTTCAGACACTACAACTATTTCTCCATCCACCATTACCTCAGAATCGACAACTTCAAGCACTGAATCTGTCTCAACACCAGCAACAACTTATCCATTGTCATCAACACCATTTACATCAGCGACTGCAAGAACTTCCAATATAGAAACGATGTCAACATCAGGTGCAACTTCTCCATTGTCAACAACATTATTCACATCACCAACATCACGGTTTTCTTCGACAACAGCTATTTCAGACACTACAATTATTTATCCATCCACCATTACCTCAGAATCGACAACTTCAAGCACTGAATCTGTCTCAACAGCAGCAACAACGTCTCCATTGTCAACAACACCGTTCACATCTCCGACTGCAACGTTTTCTTCCACAACACCTATTTCAGACACAACAACTATTTCTCCATCCACCATTACCTCAGAAGTGACAACTTCGAGCACTGAAACTGTCTCAACAGCAGCAGCAACTTCTCCATTGTCAGCAACACCATTTACATCAGCGACTGCAACAACTTCCAGTATACTAACGGTGGCAACATCAGGAGCGACATCTACATTGTCTACAACATCAATAACATCACCAACAGCACCGTTTTCTTCTACAACACCTACGGCAGACACTGCAACAATTTCCACATCCACCGTTACCTCAGAAGCAACAACTTCAAGTACTGAAACGATTTCAACAGCCGCAACATCTCCATTGTCAACAACATCATTCACATCACCATCATCATCACTGTCTTCAACAACAACTATTTCAGACACTACAACTATTTCTCCATCCAACTTTACCTCAGAATTGACAACTTCAAGCACTGAATCTGTCTCAACAGCAGCAACAACGTCTCCATTGTCAACAACACCATTCACATTTCCAACTGCAACGTTTTCTTCCACCACACCTATTTCAGACACTACAACTATTTCTCCATCCACGATTACCTCAGAAGCTACAACTTCAAGTACTGAAACGATTTCAACAGCAGCAACATCTCCATTGTCAACAACATCATTCATATCACCAACATCACCGTTGTCTTCAACAACACCTACGGCAGACACTACAACTATTTCTCCATCCACCATTACCTCAGAATCGACAACTTCAAGCACTGAATCTGTCTCAACAGCAGCAAAAACTTATCCATTGTCATCAACACCATTTACATCAGCGACTGCAAGAACTTCCAATATAGAAACGATGTCAACATCAGGTGCAACTTCTCCATTGTCAACAACATCAATGACATCACCAACAGCGCCCGTTTCTTCGACAACACCTACGACAGACACTGCAACGATTTCCACATCCACCGTTACCTCAGAAGCAACAACTTCAAATACTGAAACGATTTCAACAGCCGCAACATCTCCATTGTCAACAACATCATTCACATCACCAACATCACTGTTGTCTTCCACCACACCTATTTCAGACACTACAACTATTTCTCCATCCACCATTACCTCAGAATCGACAACTTCAAGCACTGAAACTGTCTCACCAGCAGCAACTTCTCCACTATCAACAACACCATTTACATCAGCGACTGCAACAACTTCCAGTACACTAACGGTGGCAACATCAGGAGCGACATCTCCATTGTCAACAACACCATTCACATCTACTACAACGTTTTATTCCACAACACCTATGTCAGACACTACAACTGTTTCACCATCCACAATTACCTCAGAATTGACAACTTTGAGCACTGAATCTGTCTCAACAACAGCAACAACGTCTCCATTGTCAACAACACCATTCACATCTCCGACTGCAACGTTTTCTTCCACCACACCTATTTCAGACAAAACAACTATTTCTCCATCCACCATTACCTCAGAAGCTACAACTTCAAGTACTGAAACGATTTCAACAGCAGCAACATCTCCATTGTCAACAACATCATTCATATCACCAACATCACCGTTGTCTTCAACAACAACTATTTCAGACACTACAACTATTTCTCCATCCACCATTACCTCAGAATCGACAACTTCAAGCACTGAATCTGTCTCAACAGCAGAAACAACTTCTCCATTGTCATCAACACCATTTACATCAGCGACTGCAAGAACTTCCAATATAGAAACGATGTCAACATCAGGTGCAACTTCTCCATTGTCAACAACATTATTCACATCACCAACATCACGGTTTTCTTCGACAACAGCTATTTCAGACACTACAATAATTTATCCATCCACCATTACCTCAGAATCGACAAGTTCAAGCAC